ATGTCATTATAATCTTGAGGATAGTTTACATGCCATTAGAGATTGTCCTGGTGCCAGGGAATTATGGGAGCATTGGGTTCCTTCTGATAACTGTAGTGACTTTTTCTCCATGGATCTTCACCTATGGATTCAGACAAATCTAGGATTAAAAGGTCCGTTTCAAACTGATCGAACTTGGCCTTTGTATTTTGGGGTGATAGCTTGGTGTTTGTGGGGAGAAAGAAATAAGGTGATCTTTGATCAAACTAGCACCTCAAAGTATGGTCTCATTAGGCGCATTACCTACACTTGTGGTAATATTCAATTGGCTAATGAAACCCTTATTAAGATTGGTCATCAGGAGCTTAGAAGAGAGGAATGTCTTATTCACTGGAATTTTCCCTCTGAGGGTTATGTTAAACTTAATGTGGATGGTTCCAGCATAGACAGTGGGCAAAGGACTGCATGTGGTGGAGTCATAAGGGATGCTGCTGGGAACTGGTTAACTGGTTTTACAAAATTCCTTGGGAGTGGTACTTCTACTTCAGCGGAAATTTGGGGGTTCTTGACAGGTATGGATCTGGCTTGGCATAAGGGATTTAGGAGAGTCTTTGTGGAGGGTGACTCCAAGGTGGCTTTAGAATTTATAAGAAAAGGGTGTGACGTAAGTCATCCTCTTTCTGCTTTAATCATCCGAGCTCGTAGCATGCTTCAAAGAGACTGGATTATTCAGCTTAGTCATACTTATAGAGAAGACAATTTTGTTGCTAATTGGCTTGCCACTCATGCACCTCATCAGGATGGACAGCTGATTGTGCTGGATGTCCCTCCAACGACTTGTTTGGAATTGCTTCGTAATGACTTGATGGGAGTTAGTCTCCCAAGATTGTGCCCAATATAGGGCTTTTTTTTTATGTTGCTTTAGTTTTCATTGTATTTCCAAAAAAAAAAAAAAAAGAGCTTGAGAATGGGTAAGTGACAGGGGAGGAAGAATAAATTTTCTCTCTAATCAATTTGCGCTGCTACGTTGTTTTAATCATCTCCGTACGTTGCTAACTAATATAAGAATAAATATCTTTTTTCGTCCCTAACAAAAAATTTGGTCTCCACTTTAGTCCATTATAAATAAAAAATTAGTCACCTGGTCCCTATAAAATTCTAAGTGGACCAATTTTGATCTTTTTGAGGGATTAATGTAGGTCTTTTTTGAGGGACCACGATTTTAACTAAATTGATTCACTTTAAAAATTTTAGGGACTTCGAGACTAATTTTTCTTTGTAAGGAATTAAAATGGGGATCATGTTTTTTGCTAGGAACTTAAAAATATATTTACTCCTAATATATATATTCAACCAAGAGACAAATAAGGACATGCAACCAAAAAAAATTGAAATAAAATGTTTTATGACCGCACTTGCGGGTATTTGCCCGCAAGTGGGTCCGCCACTGGTTTAATATGTGAGATTCATGTGAGACAATATAAAAAGAAAAGAAAGAAAGAAAAATAAGAGTTTTATATATTTTTATGTATGTATACAAAATAATTTTATTTCAATGAAAAATACTAATCTCAATATATATCTATGTTATGAAAACCGGACCGACCCAGTCGGGTCGACTCAGAAACCGATGAACCGATCATGTATCCAGTCTGGTTTTCATATTGTACCGGCTATGTTATAGAACCGGTTTGACCCAATGCGACCCGGCCGATTTTCGGAAAAACCGGTGACCCGGTCGGTTCAACCAGTGACCCGACCCGGTTTGTAAAAAAAAAAAACTAATTTAATCTCATCAATTGATTTCTTCCTTTTTTTAACTCTCAAACACAAATGATTTGTTTTCTTTTGAAATATTGGAGCGATTTGTAGCTTATTAATTTACATAGATTATGTACTTACAACACTAATATTATCTTGGTTATGCAATACGTAGGAAATTTTGATTTGATTTATAGTTAGAAATGCCATTTACTGAACTTGAAACATTAGTATAACAAATATTATATGTTTGATTACTTTTTTGTTAGACATTGATATGTATTTTATTATTTTTCGGGAGATGATATAGTTACTACTTCTTTTTCTTACTACCTCTTACTACCAAATCTTAATCATTGATTTTCGATAATCTAACGGTTATAATTTATTAAGTCATACTTATTAATTAATTATTAATTTCCAATAAATTATAACCGTTGAATTGGCAGAAATCAACGGTTAAGATTTGGTAGTAAGAGGTAGTAAGAATAAGAGGTAGCAAGTATAACCTTTCCCTTTTTTTCATAATAAAATAATTAAAATTGGTGTATTTTTTTACAAGTATTTAAGTATATTTATAATTTTTTAATATAAATTATACATTTACATATATATTTACCGAGTCATGCGGTTGAACCAGTAACCCACTGGTTGAACCAATAACCCAGTACTCGATCGGTTCGATAACCGGGCCGAGTTTAATAACATTAATATATGGGAAAACATTTTCTCCTTTTAAAGGAGAAAATTTTTCTCATGTTAGTGACACATTGTATAAGTGGGTCCCACAAAATAGTGGAAAGAGAAAAAATTTAAGATGGGATCCACTTATGCTTTGAGTCACTAACATGAGAAAAATTTTCTCCTTTTAAAGGAGAAAATATTTTCCCTTAATATATATATATATATATATATATATATATATATATATATATATATATAATCATTATCTACAATTCTACAACTATTTACATAAACTCCTTAATCTCTCGAAGTCAGAATATCCACTCGGCCACTCCACGCGCTAGATATGCATCAATGACTTCTCTATGGTTTCTTTTCTAGAAGAGTCATAAAATCATATAAACAATTTAATAATTTTGAGATTTTTGCGCTATCAACTTATTCAACTGTAATAAATTACATAAAATTCACTCTCTTGATTTTCGTGAGACAATTGAGTAATTTTTGCTCCAGAAGTGTGTTCCCCAGAAGTGCCCCAGTATAAATAGTATGGGAGTGAATCTTCGAAAGTTGTGATCAAATAATAAGAGCATATAATAATTTTTTCACATAAGAAAATTCATGTCACGTAAAAGCTCGGGTACAACGCTTTAGGTACACCAATATCAAAATTTTTGGCGACTTAAAGAAAATTATTAAAAAAAAATATAGGTTAAAATGAAAAAAAAATTAATAAAAGGAATTGATACTCTCGTAGCATTAAAATATGGATAAATAATTTCTCTTGTCAATAAAAATAAGTTATTTTCGGCGAGTCTAAAATTATGTTGTTTTGAGATAAAAATTAAGATATTTTTGTAATTTTAATATATTATAAGATTATATTAATCTTTATAAGATGATAACTTTATCTCCGACGACTTAAGAAATACTTTTTCATTAAAATAATTTCCCTCTCCAACAAGGGTTTTGACCTAAGAAATGTAAATTTAAAGTGGTTACGCGTTTAGTTGCGCACCTGACACATGTGTGTTTCTTACAAATCTGAATACGTCTGTACCAGGTACGTATCTAAACACGTCTGTATCAGGTGCGCGTTTCTGATTGTGACACGACTATGTCACGAAATTTGTGCCTGAATATGACGCATCTTGGTATTGTGCTCGTCAGTCAGAAACGCGCACCTGATACAGACGTGTTTAGACACGTACCTAAAACAAAAGTGTTCAAATTTGTTATAAACGACTAAATGCATAATTACCTTAAACGTATCTCCCTGCATTAGTCCGATAAAACATTTAGTGATCCAACTAAATAAGTGGATTTTTTTGAAATATGTATTTTTTTTTTTGTCAAAAACCCTCCCCAACGTGTATCCGTTTGAAACTACTCAGTTTTCTCGGAATCAGCGCGGTGCATTCTGGAACATTTCAACTTACACTTGCAAAATGTTGTTTTTTTTCTTCTTCAATCTTTTCGTTCTTGAAACTCGCAAATGCATTTGTCTGTATAGAAAGCATCGATTTAATGCGTGTCTGAAAACGTAGTACTTATGTACTATGACTGAAAATCACGTTTGCCTCTACTAGTGGGAAACAGCTGTCGATTTTGGAGGTAATCAGTGGAATCTCATAATACCATATGTCCCCTCTATAATAGGTCACGATGAAGGTGATGTGCTGGGCCTGGGACACTACTACTGATTAGTCAAATTTGTTATTTAGTTTCTTGCAAAATTTTAGTTTCCCCGCTAGACCAGCACTTGTTTTTTTTTTTTTTTTTGGTTGAGGGCAGAGCAACACTTTTTAAATCTTACATCCTTCTCATTAGAATATGTGATAAAGACTAGACCGTGTTTCTAGAGTAACCACTTCTCAAGTTGTAGCACCGACACAAATACACGACAACAAAAAATTTTGTCCTAATGTATTTAGAAGGGTTTTTTTTTTCTTTAATAGAAAAGTTCAATTAAAGAGAAGCTACCGCATTTCAAAGGCCAAGGTACACTACTAGACTACTGGTCCTTGCAAGAACTTATAATGATAACAACAAATCACCTAACAAAAAAAATAAAATTTTAACTGAATTGGTTCAATTCTTATGAGCTGATTAATTTACATGTCTACAGTAAAAAATTAGAGTTTAATTTTAGAGTAAACTATTTCTCCTCAATTATCTCAAAACTACGTTATTTTAAATTAATAAAGAATATTTTTATAATTTTTTTTTATTATATAAATTTTATTAAAACACTCTTTATTAATTCCCTTAAAATTATAAAAACACCCATCGTTAATTCAAAAATACATAATTTTGAAAGTCCCGAGATAAGTAGAAATACTTTACCCTTAATTTTATAGTGTAAAAGAATCTTACACTTTCATCCATTAATGCAAAAATCAGAAAGAACGATCCCATTGAAAACAAGCAAACAGAAGAATGCCTTTCCTGTTGCTAGATCTCTTGAAAACAATCACTTAGCTTCCAAATCATATACAGTTCAATTATATAAAATGATAAATGAAAGAAGAAAAAAACAAGTAATTCAAAGTCATTTGAATAAAACCAATGCTCATATATACAAAGTCATTCAAGAATGCACATAAAAGATTACAAAAGAACCAAAGGCATGCATCTTATCAACGGGAGTGTTGATTGGGAGGCAGTGAAAAGAAGCATCAGAACATGGAGATAGTGTTTCCTACCCGCACCAAAACTTTAAACTCTTTCCTGAGACAAAATCAGTGTTGTTGATATTTACACCTTTACAGGAGTTAGAAGAGGTTACGATGAATAATCAGTTTGGAGGAAACTCTCATAAGCAGTTCCTTTTAGTGTCTTGTTAATGTCATCCCAATTTTTAATGTGCTCTGACAATGGTCCTCTATGTATCTTAACCTGACGGCTTGTTAACTCCATCTGTGCCAGTCCTAAAAATTCTTGCACATCTTTTAGCTTCTGCAAGATACAGAAACAGTGAATCACATATATTTTGTTAACTTTGCAATGTATTGATAACTAACAAGAAACAAAAGATATCAAGTTAGCTAGCTGACCACTAGTCCAATAACACCCTTCACGTGCACCAAAAAAGTCAAGTTAGAAGTTTTGTTAAATTCATTTTCATGATAAGTTTGCTATCTTTCCCACTTGCAGCTTCATGCTTTCACATATACTTTTGTTAAAAAAATATAGCAGAGCTTCAAATATAACAACTTTTCATCCTTTACCCTTAAAGTGAGTACAGGAAAGGGACTGGAGGAGAGGGGAGGAACTTGGTAAAAATTTTGAGTGACACAATTGAAATTTCTTCCTAGATTATCATATTATGGCCAACCAGCAGCTAAACTCAAATCCACCAACAATGAATAATACAAAGTTACTACTCGTAAATGGTGCTTGTATTATACATCCAAAAAGCTAATTTATTGCAGCTTTCAGTTAAAGACGAAGGAATTTGTGATGAGGGCCTTACAGTGCGATTTCTTATAAGATCCTCGTAGTACAAGATCATATGCCGAGTGGTGTTGAAGTATTCTAGAGCCTTTGCAGCTATCATCTCCATATCCTTCAAGTCAGTCAGCAATGACGTAGAATTTATGGTAGGCTTGTATTTTGAAAGAGTCTCAGCCTAAAAGAAGCCAAATATGAGTTTCATTTGATGTATAAGATAAATGAAATGAAAGCAGAACACACACACACACAGAGACCTCTTCTGGAGAATGAACATGAGATTTATGAGTTCCGTTCAATAGCTTAGCATAACGGTCATAGGAATTGGCAAGCATTGATACTAATCTACGTAATAAGTTCCTCCGGAAAAGAAATATGACAGAAACACTTCTACGGTTGAAGTAGTCTGCTATTTCCTTAGGGTGCTCCATTAATCCCTGCATGAAACCAGAAAATGTCTTGACTCTTCCATTGTAAAATACTGGCTTCTAAAACAGAATTGCAGAGCCTCAATGCAAGGCCAAAACAAACAGGCAAAATAATTGCAAACAAAGCAAGTCTTCATTTGTCATATGCCTTCTTCTGTTACACGAATGTATTACCAAATATTGATTTCCAAGACAATTGACAATGGGCCTCTCATGGACTGTTGGAGAACAAAATAGCTACGTGGATAAAATCAGCTTAACTATATTTTTGGTCCCTTTAGTTTAGTGTCACTAAAGTTTGATTTTGGTTCTATCAGTTTTACTTGCTACAATGATTTTTCAGGAGTTTCCAAATTGATGCAATTTAACCACTATCAGGTTCATGTCGATGTCCACTCTTTTACCGATTTGACATAATGCCAAGTCATTTCTACATCAGCAAAGTCATCACTCATCAAGGAAGGCGTGAAAGGTCAAACAATTTTGTTCTGGTTCCACACAAAAAAAGGGCATGGCCAGAAGGCATCAAATGACAAAGGGAATTCTTGGAAACTATGAGGATAACATTGTAACGATTGAAATGAGAAGGGCCGAAATCAAACTTCAGTGAAACTAGGCAGACCAAAAGTGTAAACCCAACAAAATACTTAAAACAACCTAATTCCAATTCAGACAATTGACTGACTAAAGTTTTCATGATGCCACAATGTGTCAATTTCATCAAGATCCAAGACGTTGAGATCCCTATTTAATTATTTTTTTTCAAGTGGTTCTAGTAGATAGCACACCAATCTTGTTCCCCCATCATGTCAGGGATTATGCTCAATTCCATCTCATCTCCTTTTGATAAAATTTGCCACCACTCCTATCAGAGATAAACATAACCCTTGCTCTGTATATCTCACGCACTAGATCATATTAATAGGCAAAAAGTAGCTCAACTCTAGTCAATGATCATAAGCGGGAGTCAGAAAATGAGAACAATGTTCCAGAGTCTGAGTGAGAATACTTGTTCTCAAGTTAGCACATGGATTAAGTTCCACTTAGATACTCCACATTAGAAATATAACGAAGAGCTGGGAGCGTTAAATTACATTGCAACCTTAAACCTAATAAAAGGGCAACTATGCCTGCAAATACAAATAAAAAAAGCTTTATTTTCTCTTCTGAAACACATATTATGACACATATATAAACTTAAGAGAACCCGATATACATAATTTAGTTCACTACATTTGTGCAAAAACCTTAACAGTAAGCACTTTTACCTGATTCAGCATCCACTTTAAGCCAATTGCAGCGGAGCACTCATTCTTGGAAGCACTACTGAGCCAATCCAAGTTGTAAACTTTATCTAAAGTATGTACAATTGTAGAAACATTTACTCGTCTTTCTCTAACTGAAAATATCTCCCCATTTGAGCTTAAATTAATATGGCTATTCAAAAGGGTCTCAAACCACCCACTGCCTGATCTCTGATTTGTCAATATGGCAAAGAATAGTACAGGATTACGATCACACTCACTCCTGGCAAAGAACAAGGCAATTAAACAATGTCCTAATCAAAGCCAAATGACCAATATTTATAGAAACTTTCCATTACCTGTTAAAAGACAAAGGTTTGGGGTAATGTGTGTAAGGGGTATCAGCTCGGTTCAATCTACTCCGAGAAGGCTTCTCAATCTCTCGCAACTCCATTAGTATAGTCCTAGCGTGGGTGCTTATCTGCTTTAGACATACAGAACAGATAAAAACGCCACATAACATTGAGAATATCAACACCGACATCCTTAACAACAGTGGCGATTTCTTATGAGGTTTTATAACGAGAATGTCCTGCAACCCATGTACAAGGAAAACGTTACAATAATTTCAAAATAAATAAATAAACAATTAAATAAAACAGAAGATGAATGAGAGAACAAAAAAACATATAGATGTAGGAGATCATCAACTGGGTAATGAAAAGGATAAATGACACAAACTTTAGAAGCATGTGTTCCAGTTAAACGAAAAAGAATAGACAAATTTATGAAGAATAATGAACCCAAGATCGAAACATGCAGAGGGAGCTCAAAGCATTCATCTTTTTCTTCCCCGGGTTTAGTCAGAGAGTGGAAGCACCAGATTTCAAAATTAAATGTGAAAAAGTAGAGAGAGAGAGAGAGAGAGAGAGAGAGAGAGAGAGAAGAGAAGACCCTCCTGCACTATGCTTGAAACGTTTCAAAATAAAAAAAAATAAAAAAAAAAAGACATGGCTGTAATTTGGAACAATTGGCAAAAGGGGGGGGGGGGGGGGGGGGGGGGGGAGTAAAAGAAGAAGCACATTGTTTCCCAAAGCAGAAAGGAGAGGTGATTTTATTAGTAGTAAAGACCACACAGGAGCACCTTGTTGAAGAAACACATGTCTTCTACTACCATTGCTGTTCTGGAAACAGAGAGACAGAGAGAAAGATAGAGCTAAAGCAAGAACAGGAGCACAGGAAAGGGTTGAGGTTTGGACCTTCATTTTGTTGACGATTCTAGATGCCATTATTGAAAAGGCCCTAAAAAAAGTCAAGCCCAGCCAGCCAAGCAACAAAGGACCCTTCTCTTTCAGAAAATATTTAAAAATATTAGGTTAGATATTTTTATTATCAAATCTTTTCAGAGTAAATATATTTTTTGATCCTCAGCAAATTTTATGACGCCTGATTTAGTCCCTAGCAAATAAAGGGTGCGCATGACAACCTTCCCGGAATCAATTTTTTTTTTAATTTCTGTTTCCGGGAACAGAAATGGATAGAAAACTCGTTTGTTAAAATCGATTTATTCTTTTTGTTCCCGGGATGAACCAGATTAATTTTTGTGTTGGGTAACAGAAAAAAGAATCAGAAAATATCTGCTTTTTTATTCCCGGACACAAAATGAGAAACACTTATCTCTCTTAATCACTCTCCATCTCTACCATCATCACCATCACCACCATCATCCCAACACGACCACCGCCACCATCGTCGTCGCCGTCGTCGTACCACTAGTGCTGTCGTGACCACCCCTCACCACCACGATGTCACCGCCACCACCACCACCACCTCCACCCATCACTACCATCATGCCACCATCACCACCACCACAACTACCACCGCTGCAACCACCACCACATCACTATCACCGTCACCGTCACCACCACCACCATCACCATAATCACAACCACTGCCGCCATTAGAGGTGGCAAAGCGGGCTGCCCGCCCCTGCCCACCAAAAGCCTGCCAAAAAGCGGGCTGGCCCGCCCCGCCATTGAATGTGGGCTAGATATCTCTGCCCGCCCCGCGCCGTTTGGGCGGGCAGGGGCGGGCTGCCCGCCAAGCCCGTCACATTTTACACTAAAATTTTTTTATAAAAAAAAAATAAGCCCGGGCGGGCTGGCGGGCAACGAGTTTAGAAAACTCAGCCCGCCCCGCCCGGCGGACTCGGCCCATTTTGCCAGCTCTAGCCGCCATCCCCATCGCCACCACTACCACCACCACAACGGCACCGCTGCCATCATCGCCACCATCACCACCACCACAACAAAGTACCCTTCTCTTTCCGAAAATATTTAAAAATATTAGGTTAGATATTTTTATTATCAAATCATTGTAGAGTAAATACTTTTTTGGTCCTCAGCAAATTTTACGATTTTACGATGCCTGTTTTAGTTCCTAGCAAATAAAAAGGTCCATCGTGGTCCCTAAAAAATTCAAAATGGACCCATTTAGTTGAAATTTTGGTCCCTCACAAATTCAAAAAAGACTCATATTAGTCTCTAAAAGGACTAAAATGGGTCGATTTTGAATTTCTTAGGAACCACGATGGGTCTTTTTTTTGCTAGGGACTAAAATGGGTATCGTGAAATTTGCTGAGGACCAGAAAGAGTATTTACTCATCTTTTTATTACCATTTCACTATTATCTAATTATTATTGTATTAGAGAAAAATTAAATATGAATTCAACGATAATTAAAGCAGTAGTGGAGTAATGGTAAAAAGAATTAATAGTAAAAATATTCTACTTCTATAAATATATAGTTTATTTTATCTATAATTTAAAAAAAAAAAAAAAAGAAGAAGAAGTTGTTTGAAAACTCATCTAACAAGAACTGATTTATCTTGTAATGAAACTTTTTGTTTGAAAAGTTGTATATAGAAATTAATTTAGTTTTGGATAATGAAATTGATTTCTAAACGAAATAAATTAATACTTTTTTAAATGATTCTAAAACTTAGTGTATATAATTTTTTTCCTAACCTGTACAAACAATTGTTTTTCCGCACAAACAATTGTTTTTCCTAACAAACTTATTTATTTAAAGAACATAAATATTTTAAATTATGAAACTTATAGATTTTACTCATCTTTTCTTCTTTTTTAAGTACTTGAAATAATTGTTGCACTTAAATCTTTAGAAATTTATAACTCTTAAAAGTCTTAACAACCCAGTGGTGCCGTAATTAAACTCCCGCTCATTGGTCAAAGTGGAGACCAAGAAAAGCATAGGTAACGACCTCGCTCACGTGTGACGATGAGGAGAGAGAAAATGAAGTAACTTCAATTAGAAGATTGACTTTGGTTGTCGTATTCAATATTATAAAATGCGTTAATATATAATACTATAATTTCATTAATTATTTGATGCCAACGTTGTGTTATAATGAATAACTTAATCAGAGCTTGAGGTGAGAGTTTTGAAATATAAATTTGAGGGGAGTTATATTTATCATTATTTTTTTTACTACTAAATTTTAATCGTTGATTTTCATTAATTTAATAGTTATAATTTATTGAATCATACTTATTAATAAATTATTAATTCTCAATAAATTATTATCGTTAGATTGGTTAAGATTTGATGGTAAGAAAAAATTATGGTAAGTATAACCTATTTGTATAAATTTAGGGAAAAGTATATGTCATTTTAAATAACACAAGTTGTGTCATTTTATAGACACAAAGAGGTGTGCATCCCGATAAAAAAAATAAAGATATGGGTCTTACCTTTTTGTATCTATAAAATAACACAACGTATATCATTTAAATGACATATATTTTTTTCCATAAACTTACGTACATTTATTTTAGGAAAATATAAGTATTATGTTATAGGGATATGTTATTCTGCCTACTCTTATTTTACCTCCATTTTTCTATCTCTTTCAACACCGTAGATTACAATTTTATTCAACGGTGGAGATTTGTAGAATAAAATAAATATTTTTTCCCTTATTTTCTTCTCATTGTCTCCCACTATCTTTCTCTCTCTTCCTCTTTCTCTGTATCAATTTGCGTAATTTACAACCTGAATTTATATTTGAATCTAAATTCATGCAATGATTAATGGCATGATAGTTTTGTTGTATGAGTATAATTTTCAAAAAATATACAATTGAACAAGTCAGAAACCACAAAATTACAAAAAAAAAAACAAAAACTACGAATAATCCTTCATTTGAATTAATCCACGATTACCATAACGTTTCTATTTTGCTGTTTAAATTTGAAACGAATCAACTTACTCTTATCGTGTTTTTCATCTTAAAGTGGGGAAATGATCTTTGTTCTCTCTATGTTATGCACAACAACATGCCTACCTGGTTCTATAACATATGACATATGGGTTTATTTCTTCTTGACACCTCATTTCAATTTTTCATGTAATGCTCATAACAATAGTTGGGTTGGATGAATTGGGAAAAAAGCTTACACCTTTTTGGATACTGAAGTGTCATTGAATAAAGAGAAAGGGAAAGAGAGAGAAAAAGTGAGAGGCAGTGGAGTGAAGAAGGGTAAAAGAGTTTATTTTATATCGCAAATCTCCACCGTTGGATGAGATTATAATCTAACAGTATTGAAAGAGTAGATAAAATAAGAGTAGGCAGAATAACATATCCCTACATTATAGGAATGAGTTTTTTGTCCTACAACCATTTTTTAATTATATACTAAGAGTAGTACAAAGTGAAAATATTAAAGTTATTGATGTGAAGAAAAGAGAAAAATTAATTTTAATATTATAATTATATATTAATCTTAATACATAGTTAAAAATGATTTCAGGATATCCTGCAACACGACATCACAAACCCTTTATTTTATTAGTTAGGTAATTTTCTTAATAGAATTCTAAACAACCGAAGACTTCTACTAATACCTTTGTATCGTCATCTCATATCTACCATCATTTTCCGGCGGCATTCGTCAATCGCTGCCATTCTCACCACCACCATACGATATGGTTGCACAACAGATATCTCTTTTTCTTCTTTTTTATATAAAAAAGTTTAAATTAAGGAGATATACCTCATATGCAAAATGAGAAAAGATCATTAATTTCATTGAGGATTTAAATTCAGATTACATATTATATATTAAAGAGAAAAAACTGAAAACGAACCCAAATCACAATTAGCATGCACAGAAGGTTTGACTAATTTTTAATTTTGGATAAACCATAGATATCTTTCAAAAGGCAATCTTATTCGAAGCAAGTCTAAGATTAAGGTTTTAAACTCCTCTTAAAGATGATACTGGAAAGATCGAATATATACTCGCACATTCACATGTTCAACTCTCATACTAAGTGAAAGGTTTGACTAATTGTGCAACTCTTATTGACAATTATCTCTTTCTTTATATGATATTATTATATTATCTCAATAACCCTTTCAGAATCCATTATTATTATATGTATATATTATTTCGCTTTCTTTCATTTTGGGTCACTTGTTCTTCTTTTATGATGTACTTTTCATATTGTACAAGTTTTCAAAAAGCTTAATATATATAAGATATAAGAATAAAATTAAATTTTTGTACTTAATTATATAATAATACATAAATAACAAAAAATTAGTGACTATGAGTATTTATCCCCATAAGTTAAATTAGAGTACATTCTTTGAAGATTAGTGTAATATTCTTAGTGTATTTTCCCTACAAGGATGTCAGATGTCTTAATTAGCTACTCTTTTAAATTTTAGATTCAAATTCTTGACTTAATTAATATTTTTAAATATTTTTCTCTTTAAATCTATGTTGTTTAGATTATACATGAATATACATATCCATATCTCCCTTACAATTTTAAACTTAAATATTTTTTATTTTATTTTATAATTGTAATTAATGTAACCAAAATTAATAGATTAGGTATACAAAGCACTTTAAAAAAAATCTTATACCTTTTCCTTTGTTAATCTGCTAAAGCCTAAAAAATGTTATAATTTATCCGGATCAAAACCTCGAGTTGTGATGCATAAGTTAATTAACTTGATATTACATAGAGACTTGGGGAAAATATATTAATAAAAAAATTAATAATAATAATATTAATGGTGTGTATCCTAGTATGCATGTATATATATGATATTAGGCATGTTAACTTTGATATAAGATGGTGTAATAAAAATAGGTATTAATATATTTATATGTTGACATTGGTTGCCATTAAACATTACTTGTATGTCATTATTTGATTATAGAAA